TTGTTTAGTTGCAAGAAATAGATCATTCTTCAACAAACTAGTATAAGAAAAGATGTTTTAAAGGATAGGAAGTGCATCTGTGATGGCTAGAAACAAGAAAACTGACAGGAACCAGCCAGCCTACATGCTCTTCCCTTGCAATTTCGAGCTTGTTTACTTTCCTTGTCATGTGTTCTGTTTAATTATTTACTTTTCTGTGTACTGGAAATGGCGTCCTTCATCTCTGAATCTGCGTTATTTCCCCAAACTAGCATCTATAGCCAACTACCTAAAAGTTTTAAATCATATTAGCAATTACAAGATTTTCTCCTTGAAGTAGCACTATAGCACTGTTCTCCCTTTGTTCATTGATTTGCTCGAGCAGGCCCAATAACATCTCCATTGTGAGACTTGTTGTTATTGTGTTTGGCATATCAAATACATCACAGCTAGCTTGCCAGGCTTTGTCATGCAGGTGAGATACCCTCAGTAGCTTGCTGGGCTCTCCAAGAGGGGAGGAGAAATCCAATGCGGGTTGGCCTCGTGCAAGGCAAACCCCCTACCCACTGTGCTATCGCTCCTGAATCAGGGTGTTAGATATGCATTTTAATTTTTCCAGTGAATGAGTTCTCCAAAAGTGAAATTGGTGCAAGAAGTGAACAGCAGCATCTTTTCCAAATGACTATGGTTTTTGAAATCTACTGTTCATCTTGTAGTTTCCTAGATTCAAAGCCAAATATAATACTTATAGATAATTTTGGTGGCATTACAAATAGATTTTCAACAGGCTAATCAGTTAGATATCTATTTAGATTATTCAGAAAATATACTCTTAAAAAGAGGTTACTGTAGAAACCAAAAACATCTCTGTAAACTCAAAAGCCAGGGAGAAGCCTAATGAAAATAAAATACCGGTTCCATCACTAAGGGTGAACATACCAAAAAAAAATCACCCTGGGCTAATAGAAGAAGATCTCAGGTCATCATTTTTTAAATAACCTTAATAACAATATGTCCATACAGTTGCTGTCAACCAGAATTCCTCTGGTACTTTATTGAATGAGGTGGAGAAAGTAGCTAAGAGCAGAAATTAAGCATAATCGTGAAGATAATGTGTTGAAAATTGACAATAGAAATAATTTGCTAACATAAAACTAAATTTTCTAATATCACGTATAGAGAGATCAGTGCAATTAAGTTAAATTAAAGGAAAAATTTAAAGATAGATTATCTTTTATTATCGTGATTTGGAAATGAATACTCTATTCTTTTCTCTCATCTTTTATAAGTGATACCTTTCCTCAAACTGGGTATTTAATTAAACAAAAAATAGTTGTTATGTGAAGAATATATTTTCAATTACAATGCAATCATTATAAATTATATTTTAATACCTTGGCATTGCACATCTGATTATGCACAAGTTTTTTTTAAATTCTTTTTTGGTTCATACTTGGCTAAGCACAGGAGTTACTCCTGGACATGCACTCAGGAATTACTGCTGGTGGTGCTCAGGGGATATGGGATGCTGGGAATTGAACCTGGGTTGACAGCGTGTAAGACAAACGCCCTATCTGCTGTGCTATCACTCCTGCCCCTGGTTATACACAATTTTTTAAATGACGTAAAATAAGGAAATGTATGGCCTAGACCAAAAACCCTTTCAAAGTAAGCAAAGTTCAATGCATTCAGAATTTTAGAAGTTGTTTTAATGTAAGTATTAATAAATATAATTCAAATAAGAATATTTTCATTTAATATCGCTATGCAGCTCAACTTAATCTGGTGTAAGATGATATTTATCAATAATTTTTCAACATACAGGTTTTTTAATGGTTAGTATTGGAAAACTTTGATAGATGTACAATTTTGAGTGCACGTAATGTTGGTGAGTCCCAAGACAGATTCAGTAAGATACAGCAGAGAGCTCAGTGCATTTTAAAAATCATGGATTATAAATAATACCTTTCCAAATACATGATAGAATATAGCACTGTCCTCCCGTTGTTCATCGATTTGTTCAAGCGGGCACCAGTAAAGTCTCACAACAAATCATGAGACTTGTTGTTACTTGTTTTTGGCATATCAAATACATCACGGCTAGCTTGCCAGGCTTTGCCCTGCAGGTGAGATACTCTCAGTAGCTGGGCGGATTCTCCGAGAGAGGCAGAGAAATCGAACTGGGCCGGCCGCGTGCAAGGCAAATGCCCTACCCGCTGTGCTATCTCCAGCCCAATAGAATATAGATTCAAAAACATGATTTGTGGAGTAGCCATTTACCTACTATAAACTAATGGCCACTCAAAGAGTAATAACCAGATAGTTAATAGTAAGTACCACAGAGAAACATGTAGAAAGACACATCTGTAGGGCTAATTCCTATGGTTAAATCAGGACATCTTGGGGGTGAAGGCCAGCAATTTTAACAAGATTCATATGACTCATACAGACTGTGATTAAGTACACAAAATTTGAAAGACACAGATTTTAATTGATATTTTTCCCAGACATGAAACTTCTCAAAACTTCAAAGATGTTATAAATGCCAGTTAATGTAGGGAGTTGATGACTATATATTTATGGTCTAATTGCTCTCTCTCCCTCCTTCTCTCTACTACATGCAAACATATGTAATATATATATAAAATATATATGTAATATATATGTATAAAATCTCAGATTCTTCTGAATATTTATTTCTCAGATTCCCCCAAACCCTGTTGATTCACAAGAGCCTTCAGAAGCAAATAATCCTGTTCATTGATTAATAGTTAATACTAGTTTTTAAAAATCTGAGTGACAGCACAGCATGTAGGGCATTGCCTTGCATGCAGCCGACCAGGCCAACCCAGGTTCAATTTCTTCGGTTCAATTTCTTGCTGGGCTCTCTCGGAGAACACCGGAAGGTACTGAGAGTATCGCCCACAGAGCAAAGCTTAAAAAGCTACTCATGACATATTCAGTATGCCAAACACAGTAACAAGAAGTCTCACAATGGAGACGTTACTGGGTCCGCCCGAGCAAATCGATGAGCAACAGGAAGACAGTGCTACAATGCTACTTTCTACTTGAAAATACTAACAAAACTTTATGACATTTCAAAACTCTGGTTTGAGATAAAGTTGTAGGACTAATCAGGCATTTTTACACCTACATATAAATTACTCATTTAAAAATAGAGTCATTTACATTACGTTATTCTGAAGGAGTGTTTTAAGTGCGCTGTCATCTATACTGAAACACAAATTATTATTTTGATTAGGAAGGGGAAAGACATTGAAGATAAGGTAGAAAAACTTTTCCACACTTACATAAAATTATATAATCTAAATTTAAAATTTAATCCTGTTTATTTATAAAAAGGCTTACATTTATAACTAAAAATTCTGGGGCTGGAGCAATAGCACAGTGGGTAGGGCATTTGCCTTGCACACGGCCACCTCAGGTTCAATTACCAGCATCCCATGTGGTCCCCTGAGCACCACCAGCAGTAATTCCTGAGTGCAGAGCCAGTAGTAACCCCTGTGCATCACTGGGTGTGACCCCCCCCAAAAAAAGTCAGAACCTCAATCAAAAAAAATTCTTTCTTTTCTGGTGAACATTTTCTTCAATATAATTCTATTTTAACTTGAAAGACAATGAACATAAGTAAAATAACTTAGGTAGCATTTGTTGAGTAAGGAGAGGCTGCTAAAATCTCAGGGCTGGGACAAATGGAGATGTTACTGGTGCCCGCTTAAGTAAATCAATGAGCAATAGGATGACAGTGACAGTGATTATTAAACTAAAAATTAATACCTAAAATATTTTATATGAATTTTATTAATATTAGTTATTACATGTATTAAAATATTTTCATTATAGCTATCAGACATACTTTCTCTAGAAGATAGCCAATTATTGGAAGTTATTAATTTCATAAAATAGATGTTTATCAATCATTGGTAGTAATATTATTCTTGTATATGATAGCATGCAGTGTTGCTCGAATGCAATAATATAATAATATTTAGTCAAATAACTAAAATTAACAGGGTTTTGTTCCAGTGGGCACTCACTCTACAAAAGGGGTGACATATCTATTTGTGCATCAATTATTTATCAGTTTCTGAAAACAGAGCAATAAACAAAAATCATTTTTATTTTCATAGAATTGATTTACTTGGTGGCAATTTTCTAAATATCAAATATTCAATTTGTAAGATGGCAAATGTGCTGGAATAAAAAGCAGCTAGAAATAGTGAATGTGATATAAGTGGATAGGAAAAAGTATTCTTTTCTTCTAAGGTGATATTGTTAGGAAAGGTCTCTCTGATGAGTGACAGTTGCAGATAGCAGAGAACTGGTGAAAGATGCTGAGTTGTGAACATCGGAACAAAGGGTAGAGATAAGTAACAAGAGGGACAATTTAGGATAAAGTACTAGGCAGTCAGGAATCAGATGAACAAGGATCTGATTAAAACAAGGTAAATTCACTAAGTTTCTTCTAAGTGAGAGAGAGAGATAGAGTACTTAGAGCAAAAGCCTAACATGGGTTTCTTGTTTGTTTGGAGGCCTACACCTGGTGAAGCTTAGGGCTGGAGGTTACACCTGGCTCAGTTTTGGGGTCACTCCTGGGTGAGCAGGGAAGGCACACGATATAAGCAAGAGTTTGACTTCTTAGAGGATGTTTTCACATAATTTAAAGGAGAGCCAAGCAGTGGAATGAAATAGCTAGCAAGAGAAAGAAGTGTACAGTCTTCAGTGTTGGATACCTCAATGCAGGCCAGGCCAGAGTTGAAAATAAACGAAGTTGTTTTCTTTGTTTTGTCCTTTTCACACACACACACACACACACACACACACACACACACACACACACATATATATATGTATATATATATATATATGAAAACACCACTATTGATAGCTAATAGAACTTGGGGAATAATGGTAAATATCCTCCATGTAGCCTAATGATAATAAAACTTGGGTGATAATGGTAAAAATCTTCCACATATCCTTCAGGAATAACTGAAGGTATACTCACCTGGCAGGGGAGATGCCATAATCATGAAGGGAATTTTCCCAAGATGAGGCTTCTCCATTGGACTCCTGATGTGCTGACCCTTGTAATTTCCCCAAATGTGGGAAACTCGACTGTACAATTTGTGGTAGCAGGTGACTGCGTTTCACCCTCTCTCTAGAATAAAAGGAGAGAGCTGAGGAAAATTTTATAAGGTAATATCAATTCTAGGGCTGGAGCGATAGCACAGAGGTGGGGTGTTTGCCTTGCATACAGCCAACTTGGCCGACCAGTGTTTGATTCCTCCGCCCTTCTCAGAGAGCCCGGCAAGTTACCGAGAGTATCTCGCCCGCACAGCAAAGCCTGGCAAGCTTCCCGTGACATATTCGATATGCCAAACACAGTAACAAGAAGTCTCACGATGGAGACGTTACTGGGCCCACTCGAGCAAATCGATGAACAATGGGAGAACCTTGACCGTGAATATCAATTCTGAATTGGAGAAGAGGAAAAAATTCATCCAAAAATGAATTTTATTCAAGTGGAGTACAGCTAATTTTGGATAACTTACATCATTACTTACATTTTAGATTTTAGAGATTTTATAAATAAGAACGAGAGAATTACTTTTATTGCTGCAACATTTTTGCTAGTGGAAGGCTTGGCAATTAGTTATCTATTATTATATTGAAAGTAAAACTTCTGAAGTAGCACAAATGCATCTTAAGTGTCCAATATATTTTCGTATGATTGTCTCAGTAAAATATATTGGCAATTATAAATATGTATTTCAACATTACTATAAAACAAATTAGATTTACATGCGATTTTACTTCTTGATATTTTTTGTGCAAGCTATTTTTTATTTTCTAAAGTGAGATTTATAGAGGTATAAGGAAAGTATAAGGTATAAGTATTAGTAAAAGTGTTAGGAAACGTTTCCAATGGCTTCATTTGAAATACATATGTTCTGAGATATATTACATATTTATACGTTACAGTACACATAGTGAAAGATGGAAATAGCATTTTAAATTACTACAAATAGCATTTTAAGTATTACAAAAGGGTGATAAGAGGCTTTTCATATCACATTTAGGAACATAAATATCTCTTCTCGAATATAAAATATCAACTGTTGGTAAGAGCTGATGATTATTTATGTAATAGGAAAGATGCATTTTGACTCATGATACACACAGCTATTTTTCTCAATTATTCTTGCCATTTTACTCTTCTTACTAAGAACTACCTCAGAGATAGGGAACAATGACCATTTTCTTCCTCCTGGAAGTTATTTTGTATCATGATGTGATTTTGTTGTTCACAGTTTTGAAAGCATTGTTGGCATGGAGGAATTATTTCATAATATATAAAACCACATAGATAATAATCACATGTAGAGTAGTATTTTCATATTTTAAAGGAGAATTGATGATAAATGAAGATCCAAATGTCCAGATTTATGAAGTAACTGATAGAATCTCAAATGACAAACTGAGTTTCTTTTTAGTTCACTTTGATTAGGAAAAATAATATCTCTAAGTTAAGCAGGGGATACAGATGACTCATCACTATGCATTGTTATTTGCAACAACCTTTTGGAAATTAGGGCGATAACATATTAAAAATAACAGATTCTATGTTTGTGCTGGATGATATACTATTGTACTTTTCATTGTAAAAGGGAATGGAAAGAACTATTTTCACAAAAATCTGTCATTAACCCCAGGGACTTTATATTGAATTTATAGTTTAGGAAGGTTTCTAAATGGACTTAAAAGGTAGGCATATATAGCTACTGGATTTCCATAAAGAATTCTCAAGGGCTTCAGTTGACAAAAAATAAGAATATCACTTCTCATTTCTAAATACTCGCTATTTCCAAAATCAGAGGAGAATTTCAGTGAGATAAAAAGAAAAGATACCTTGAGCAGATCTTGGATTCTAAGGTATATAGCCAATGCAATAATAGATATTCTTGTATTAGAAGGATGTAGCACTGTAGTAACAACTGTCCTCCTGTTGTTCATCGATTGGCTCAAGTGGGCACCAGTAACGTCGCCGTTGTGAGACTTGTTACTGTTTTTGGCATATTGAATACACCACGGGTAGCTTGGCAGGCTCTGCCGTGTGGGCGAGATACTCTCGGTAGCTTGCCGGGCTCTCTGAGAGAGGGATTGAGGAATCGGACCCGGGTCGGCCACGTGCAAGGCAAACGCCCTACCCACTGTGCTATCACTCCAGCCCCATTAGAAGGATACCCCACATTTAATATTTATTTCCTAAAATTAATTATAATTCTATTATAATTCTTATAAATCTTGGTAAGTTTAACTCTGTGATATATAAATGAATTCCAACAGAACAATTAAAACCATGTACAAGATGACTTAGAACATACATTCAAAGGCACTCACTCTTCCTGCTCCCTCCTCTCCTTTTTTGTAGCTCGACCCAGTGACTTCTGCCATCCTCTGCCCATAGAAGTCACATGGGCATGATTGGAGTAAAAGTCAGTAGGATCATGCTTACAATACACCCTGTAGGCCCAATTATGGACCAGAATAATGCACTAGTAAAACTATGAATCTCAAATTGCTGTGTGAGTATCCTTATTATAGCATGTATATATACTGAGAGAGAGGGAGACAGAGGAAAGCTCTGAATTTTGAAAGTGAGTAAAGAACTCTATGTTCTCATATTGTTCTGGACTACAAATATCTAAAAAATTGACTCTGAGTGTTAACCTCTTTGTCCACAAACATAGAACACCATCAGCATTAGCAAATAATTCTGTTCTAACTCCCCTTACTCCCCTTACTTTAAATGATCACTGGAACTAGTGTTAGTATTCTGAAAAACCTGTCCTATGTTTTCTCCACTTTGTCTGGCAGGATTTAGTTCTTACTTTCTAAAGGGTTCCTTTCTGATTGCCTTCATCTCTTGGTCTCATTTCCTTATTATCCTGCTGATAGTTTCTAAAATCACCTACCAAATAAACCACAGGGTTTTAAATTCTTATCTTGGCTCATTTCTGAAGAACGTCAAAGTCAGAAAGATTCATAATCCAGTATATCATTCCTAATATCTCTGCTTGGAAATTAAATACTTCCAAAGCGGTGGGGTGCTCTTGTCCATGGAGGATCTATCTCTATATCTGAGGTTTGGTGGGTTGCATTTTTGTTTACATTTTACTGTCTAAATGCATAATCAAACTTAACTACTTCCCTTCTTTATTTTGCCCTCCCATGATTTGGATGTAAATCAAACTCCACATAGTTTCCTTCCCATTCTGTAATTCTAGGAAGATTCTGACCTCTATCTAAAAATAAAGGAAAAGCCTTTTTATGTCTTTTACCACAACATATGTTAATATTCTATGAATTTTTGAATTTTGCTGTGGAGATGTTTATTTATTTTTGTTAAAGGTGACCATCAAACTGCAAAGAATACACACAATGTATTTTGACCCTTTGCTCTGGAAAACAAATATGTTCAACTGTATCTGAAAATGTGACTTCAACTATTTCTTTCCAATTTTTTCTTTTCCAATTTATTGGGAAGCAAATTGAAAATTGAGCAGTGAAGTAGGGTGGAAATTTTTTTTAAAGGATCAAAATATATTTTAGACTTTTTCTAAGTTTTAAACATTCTATAATATTTTATGTCAAAAAACTTCATTTTATCATTATTCTGCATTCTTAGGCACTGCCACTTTCTACTACCTCAAAAGCAAATGAGAGTTTAAGAAAAGTACTATTGGAACTTTGGTCAAACTTCCCATTTGGGAGATGACTTAAAGGAAAAACATGTGATGCTGAAATTAGAAGTTAATTTTCACCTGGTACTCTTTTTCTCCATGATTTATGGCTTGTGGATAAATTAATTGCAATCACTGCTATTTGTTTGTTTGTTTGTTCCCTCTCTTTTTTTAAGGTCCCTTGGGACCAGAGATGTGGCATAAGTGGTCGAGTGTTTGCTTTGTCTATGTGAGATTATTGGTTCATTCCCTAACACCACATATGCATCCACCATCCCAACCCACTCCCAGCACTGAGGCCATGAGAACACCTCAGCAATCACAAGAAAATGTTCTTCCTCTAACTTATTTGAGAGCAGAGAGATACAGAACAGATAAAACCAAACTATCTTTTCTCCTTAAGTGAGATCAGATAGATACAGAACAGATAAAGCCAAACAAAGGTCATCTGCTAAAATAAAATCCACATCATCTCTCAACATACATATGTTATGCAAATACAATCCCTTCTAGATTATATCCCTATGAAACCTCTTAAATTTTGAGCTCTCTGCTTGAAATATAACTAGGACTTTTTCATTCTAACCATACTTTGTACTTAATAGCTCTAAATTCCTTATCCTGGAATAAAGTTTATTTATTCATTTTTGTATCCTTTGAACAAAATTAATTGGTGAGGGGGCGAAGAAAGTATATCAAGTAAGGTGCATTTGCATTGCATGCAGCCTACCCAGATTTGATCCCTAGAATCCCATATGGTCCCCTGAACTGTTCCAGAAATAATCCCTGGATACAATCAGGAATATCCCCTAAACAATACCACATATGACCCAAAACCAAAAAATTAATTGTTGTCATATTATGAGATTCAATAATCAATAATTTAAGAATAAATGTGTCTTCAGAATGGCAGCATAACACTACCTAGGAATTCATTAGAAATAGAAATTTGGGCTGGAGAGAGAGCATAGCATGTAGATGCTTGCCTTGCATACAACTGATGAGGTTCAATTTCTAGCACATCATCTGCTCCCTTTAGCCCTTCCAGGAATAATCCCTTAGTGTAGAACCAGGAATAAACCCCAAGCACCACCTGGTATGGAAAAAGTAGAAAGAAAAAGAAATAGAAACTCATAATCCCTACCACAGACCAAGTGAATCAGAATACCTGGTGACACCTAAGAAACCACAGTGTAACCAACACTCCAAGTAAGGCCTACACACTTTGAGGTGTGCAGGTCTTGTGCAAGTTTGAGATACGCGGGTCTTAGACTGGATTGAGGCCCAGTATTTTGCATTTCTTATAAAGTTCCACGTGACGTTGAAACTAATTGTTCAGAGGTCACACTGGAGAAGCACTGATCTATAATTGAAATTCCAGCTACTATTTCTGCTACCTAACAATAGACTGAATCTCA